TTCCTGCTCCTCATATTGCAGTCCAAAACTGTGCTGTGTAGTCACTATACCATGTGCTCACCGTGAGAGCAGTGCCAGGAGCATGAAGTGTCACTCTCAGGATCCTCATAGCAGCCCTGAGCAGGGCCCATAAAGGGACAACCCAATCTTTTTGAACAGGCCACATGTGTGACATTAGAGTGGATGGGGTAGGGCTGTTCCTTAGGCACACTATCATGATCTCAGGGCAGGAGGCATAAACATGCCCAGAGAGAAGCAACTGTTTGTCACAGTCCTAGCCATTAACATGGTGACAATGATTTTATCTGCATCTGAAGCCACAGGCAGTGTCAGTGCATCGTCAGACTGGTTGTAACTGAAATGTACTGCCTGGATGGTCCTCACAGCAGGTTTTTCAAATGGTTCTTTTAACAACTTTAGAAAACAGCCCTTACAGCAAACTCTGTTCACAACCTTGTAGCTTTACCTGGGTGAGCTATATCTTCTTCCAGGGTGAATTATATAATTTTGTACCCTGGCCTCACCCTCAAATGTCTGAGCAGATTATAAGGGAACTTCCTAAGGAAATGTCAGCCTTGGGCTGTAAGGCAGACTTTAACTTGTCCACCTCAAAAAGAAGATTTATACAGAAATTGATGGGTGATCGAATGAACAGGAGGTGACCACGAAGGTGAAAATCCAACATCAGCTTCAGGGGAGGTCTCTGCACTGATTGTGATGGTTATGCTGCTTTGGGAACTCAAGCCTAAGGTGCTCTCCATGCACTTAAGTGAATTCAGGTTTTCTTCCTATTTGTTTAATTTTCATGCAGGATTTCATAAATCATGAGTTGTTTCAATACTATGAAGATCACAACAGCGCTGTATATTATCACCGATTCTGGATTGGATTGTCCTACAACTCTGAAACTAGGAAATGGGTCTGGGTGGATGGCTCAGTGCTCTCCTCTTCCTTGTAAGTCTGTGCCACCAGGATGGTCTTGTCTGTGCACCAAAGTACAGCACAGACCCTGGGTGTGATTCACCATGGAACGATAAGGTTCAGACATTGTCAATTGAACAGGGTTGTGAATTTTATCAGAGGCACAGGGAGTGACAGACCCCACCACACAGCACCAACCCCAACTGGCCCCGGGTGTTTGCAAATGTTCTGTTTCCCCCAATTCCCATGGAGCTGTGGTCTGAGTGATTCTAACTCCCAATGTGTGCCCGGGACCTTTCATCTCGATACAGCCCAACGTACCCTATGGTCTGTGGGTGTGGGAGATTCTGGCACTGTGCCCCCGGTAAAGCAGACTTGGCCCAGTGGGCCAAGGATATGGTAGAGAAGGGCAGTGTCACTCTTCTCTCCCCTAAATGCTTCAGCAAGACACCCTGGACCAGGATGGGCTTGTGCATTGGGGATGGCATATAAGGGGATAAGGCAGTGCTCTATATCCCTGCATGGCGTGCTCTGCTGAGCTTACTCCATATCATGCAAAAGCCCTGTTCCTTGTTCAGGAGTTGTACCCAGGCTACGTGCATTACAGGAAATACATATGTGTTATTGGACATCTTCAGCAATGTCCTGGGTCTCATTATTGCATCTCTGTAAACACTGGGGACTAATTTAGCCCATGCTTCCAAAAGCACAGAGCTGGTACCGCCATGATAACACCTCAGTAAGATAAACTAGCTGTTATTTCCATTAAAAAGGCCATTATGAGGTTCATTCCCAGTTCTCTTGACAACCACAAGAAATACCACAATAAGGGGCAAATCTTTGAGATTGCTCAAGCGTTGGTACATAACTCTGGCTGATGGGTTTGAAAGAGCAGGGAAGGTTGGCAGATCCCAGTTGTCTGATACACCAAGGAGTCATGTAGTACTTTAATTTACCTCATGGATACCATCTGTCCTCATGTGTTATGAGAAGTATGCAGGTGAATCTACCTTGGAAATGGAGATGCTTCTGGGAATAGCCTTCAGCCATTGGAGGGGAAGATAGAAAACATTCTCCAAGTTTGATTCCAGGATTAATTTCTGGAGAGTCAAAGGTTTTCTCAAATGAAGTTTGGGCTAGACATGATGTTGACACATCCTGTCTTGTTCATGGTGCCATGAGAGCACAGGGATCCTGTGCTGAGGGACTGTCATCCAACTCATTACAGCCTTGAGCTGGAAAGCATCTTTAGCCTTACTTCTGTTAGGTGGTTGCTCAGCATCACCTGCTGTCAGTACAGCCAGCACAGAGAGCTCCCAGCCCAGTGCTCAGGGCGCAGTGAGCTCAGGAGGAAGGGCTGGGTATGGACATGATCTGTAATCTGTGGCTTTCCATTCCAGGTTTGATCTCCCAGACCTCAGTCATGCAAGTTATGAGGGTGGAGCTTGTGTGTATGTCCAAGGTGGGACAGCTAAGCCTGGAGACTGTGAACTAACTCAGTTCTGCATTTGTGGGAAGAGGAGGGAATCGTCAGGAGAAAAGAGACTGGATTAACCCATCAAGCACATGGTGCATCAGGCACCAATCCTTCACACTGCTGTGCCAGGCATGAGAGTGTAAGACTGTAGAAATGGACTCATAGTATAAAAGAAAAATAAGGCTGAAAGCCACTGGTCAACCCCCTGCTCAAGGTTGGATCATCCACATCTAAACCTGCTTTGAAGGAAACTCTCAAGAATGAAGTTTCCACAGTCTCTCTTCTAATGTTTCAGTCTTTTCTAATGCTGAATTATTCCCAGAGATCTTCCTAATGTGCAGCCCATGTTTTGGAAAAGATTCAGTGATTCGGAGATTTGGCCAAAGGGTATAATGGGAATCAATTAAATATACATAACTTTGTTGTATTTTGGCTGATTGTGATGAAACTTGTAGGGTTGGTAGCCTCTGCAGAGGGCATGAATCCTGCCAAGTTTCAAGGTTGTAGGTGCAGGGATTTCTGGGAAACTGCACCTCAAATTCTGAAAGCAAAACTCATGTCACGTGTGTGTTAAGCCACATCAGGGTGAAAACTGCAGGGGTGGTAGCTCCTGCTGAGGTCACAAAGCCTGCCAAGTTTCAATGGGATAGGTGCAGGGGTTTCTGGGAAACTTCACTTCAAGCTGAAATGGCCTCAAAATAGATTAGACAGGGGAATTATGAATTAGTGATAGGTAACCTTGGATGTGCATGTGCCTGAGTTGGTAGAGTGTGTATGTGCCCAATGTGCATGTGTGTAAGCACCTAATTGATTTTTGTGTGCAGGTATGTGTAATTGTATCAGACCTTCCCATCTACCAGTGCAATTTTGAGATCCTGAGAGTTGTCCTGACCCTTAAGGACAACAGAAGTAGAGAAGGGCTTGTCAATAGAGACTTCGGTGACATAAACCTGGATTTTGCTTGATCCTAATATGAACCATATCTAACTGATGACCGTGAGAAGCCTCTCCTTCAAAAGATGCTGCTGGATGCACCGATATTTAAAAGTCAGTAAGTTGGGCAGAGAGCACAAGAACAAGCCTCGCTAATTAGGTGGGAACCCTGTCCCAGCTGCTCACGTCCTGCTGGCACTCAAATGAGTAAGGCTATGGGTCTTACTTTGTGTAGATGCACAGGTAGAATACAAATCTTGTTACCATTGCAGCCTGCTCTGTGTCACTCTGGACAGTAGCACTGACAGTGTGATCTGAAAGCTTGGAGGTCACAGCTGCATCGTGGTTTCCAAAACTGGCTCCTTCTATCACTTTAAAAGCTGATGTGCAATGTGTCCTGTTCACCTGTCTATTTCTGTTTCAGCTGTGAGAGCTTCTGCATCTTTACACATGGCTATTCTGGGTGAGATGAGATAGATGGTGGAAATAAGTCAAACTCTGTTGAGCTCACTAGAGCTAGGCTGACTGGCACCAGCTAAGAATTCAGCCTTCAACCTTGACAGCTGTGTTTAGAAAAAGGAAAATATTTTCATGCAGTCCCAGTGCCATAACACATGTTAAAAGTGATGCAATTTTGTGCATCAAAAATACAACTTTATGGCATAGATTTTCTAAGCAGAGCTGATTTCTTCACATTCTCTGCTGTGGGTTGCTACTTCAAAATTTGTAGATTTGATCCTGGGCTGAAGTGTAGCTCTCCAACGTGGGAAAGTAGCTTTCATTTGAGAACTCCATGGAAATGATCTAAGTAGATCTATGGTAACCAAGGGCTAAGTACAGACAGTCAAAAAGCCTGAGGCTGAATTGATTCAATCTACACAGGGTAGTATAAACTGCATAGATTGAACCAATAAGCTAGTGAAGGAAAGTTCACTTTTGATTTAATAAAAGCAGCCAGGCTAAAAGAAAGGGGTGGGGCGGGGGAGGAGGGGTGCTAAAACATGCCTCCCTGCTCAGCCAGAGAAGAAAGCTTGGGCCAGGGGTCAGCAACATTTTTGGGCAGAGTGCCAAAAACACCTGTGACCTCGACTTGTGTAAGACATTGGCGTGGCAGGAGCGGATCTTGGGGAAGCCACGAGGAGCCCAATCCTGGTTGTGGTAGTGCAGCCCTGGCCCTTGCCTGCCATCCGCCCTGAGGCGCACGTGCAAAACAAAATGCCTTTAAGTACCACACTCTGTCACCCGTGCTGGGGGTTGTCTACCCCTGGCTTGGACCCAGGCTAGCATGCCCACACTGCCGTGGCACCTGACTGTGGTTATGCCAGTCCAGCAAGGGAAAGGTACAGAAGCGGTGAGCGGCCCAGACAGATAAAGACTAGCCCAGAAGAAGTTTCCAAAATGTCAACACCTTTATTCCTGGTTCAGGTGGCCAAGGAATGTCAATATATTAATTATTTGCATGAACAAAAATCCTTTTTTTTTGAGATGCATAATTCTGGGTGATTTGCTGCTGACTCTACATATATATTTTCAAGCATCCCGAGTTTCCGCTGCTGCATCCTGTGTGGGCTCAGTTGCTGGTGGGCACAGTGCCAGGACTGTGCAGCCACAGCTTCAACAGGACCCCAGGAGGGGAGGGCAGTAGAGGAGGTGTTCATGCACTGCCCAGCATGGCCCTAGCTGCAACAGAGTAGTGCGGAAAGAAAATGGATCCATCAGCAAAGGGCGTAGATCCTTGTGCTGCCATTTGCATAGAGAAGAACATAAACCTGAACTGTATCGTGGGGGTAGGGGACTGCCAGCCTGGGGCACTCTGGGATGCTGCATAGAAGAAGACTCAATCCAATTCTTTCTGCCTCCTCTTTCATTTCACACATGTATAATTTAACAGAAATCTCTGCCCCCCCCCCCAATAGCCCAGGTGTCTCTGCTGCAAAAAGTAGAGATGGGGTCCTCTTGCTTCCATCACATCCCCACATCTTATCTTCTAGGGCCTGAGGCAGTAAAAGTCCAGCCCACAGGACAGATGAGCCCCACACTGAACTCCATTTCCTAGCAACCTTGCTCATGTTGCTATATCTGCCTTCCATGGAGACCCCAGCAACACTGGAGCCATACAGGCCGAGGGCAGAGTTTCCAAGAAGACCGACCCCAGCAGCACTGGCAGGACAGGGAGCAGCTCCAGGGCTGGGATCTTGTGGCAGTGACCGCATGGTCCAGGAGTGGAGCAGAACTGTGATCCACTGCCCACACACCCTGAATCATAGAAACATAGAAACCTAGAAACATAAAAACATAGGAAATTTGGGTTGCAAGGGATAGGTCTTACAAAACCTCCAAAGAAGGATATTCCACAACTTCTCTGTGTAACCTGCTCTAGGGCTTTACTGCCCTCCTAGAGAGAAAGTTTATCTTAATATGTAACCTAAATTTCCCTTGCTGCAGCTTAAGACCATTGTTCCCTGTTGTGTCATCTGCCACCACTGAAAACAGTCTAGCTCTATCCTCTTTTGAACCCCACTTCAGATAGCTGAAGGCTGCTATTAAATATCCTCTCAGTCTTCACTTCTCTAGACTAAATAAGTCCAGTTCCTCAGCCTCTCTGTATAAGTCATGTGCCCAGGCTCCCTAACCATTTCTGTTGCCCTCCACCAGACTCTCTCCAATTTGTCCTCTTGGCCTTAGGGGTTCTTTGCTTGTTTGCCTCTGCTAGCACTACCCCCATCCCCTGTTCTCTCCTCTCCCACTCCCTTCCTGCCTTTTGTTTTCAAACCTGTCTCTCAACTGTATATACTGCTCTGCCATCTTCTTACAGTGTCTGATGAAGTTCTCTCTCAAAACCCTTGCTAAAGTCAAGGTATGTCACATCCACTGGTCTCCCCACATCCACAGAGTCATCATAAAAGGCAATCAGGTTAGCCAGGAATGACTTATCCTTTCTGAATCTACACTGACTTACCTAATCACCTTCTTCTCCTCCAAGTGGTTAGAAATGGTTTTCCTGAGGACCTGTTCCATGATTTTTTCCAAGAACTGAGGCAAGGCTGACTAATCTCTAGTTCCCTGGATTCTTCTTCTCTTTCTTAAAGACAGGCACTATATTTTCCCTTTTACAGCCATCTGGGACCTCTCCCAATTGCCATGAGTTTTCAATAACAATGCCCAATAACTCCGCAATCACATTGGCCGTGTCCCCTGGTAACTGTTCTGGGCCTTTGTGATTCAGTGGCCTAGGGCAGCTGACACCTGTGTTTGGTCACTGTGACATCAAAGCTCCCAACAGCCAATCATGGTCACTTTGCATGTAGCAGTGACCCAAGCCAAGTCCACACAGCTATAGGGAGATCTGGAAAAAGGAAAAAAGAAAGGAGGAGGTGTGTGACCACAAGCAGCTAGATGCACACAAGGCAGACAGGCCTCCAGCTCTCATAGCAGGATTCTTCACTCTATGGTGGCAGCATCAGAGATGGGGCTGGGACCAGGACTGGACACCTCTGGATGCTGTTCTCCCAAAAGGGAATCTGGCCAGTCTTTCAACCTCTTCTAGACCTGGATAAAGACTCGCAGGCTGGAGGTGCTGTGGTCTCTTCCTGTCTGGCCCTTTCTATGTTACAGGCTCCTCCAGGGTGTCCCAAAACTAGGCTTTTGTTCCAGCCCCTTCTCATCAGTACTATCTCAACTTATTCTGCCTGCTTTTCATCTGCCATGATGTTGCTAGTAACCAGTGTGTTTGGAGGGAGGTGTTCTTAGTACCAGGGTAGTCCTTTCTGTGGTGCTTTCCGGGTGTTATTATGGCCTCCTTTGGGGAGGGGAGGGGAACTAAATGAGAAGCGCACATCATGGGTACTGGGCATGGCTCTGCGGCGGCAGTGTGTGGTGGTGGCACTGGAGCAGTGGAGCATGTGTGGCGCTGGCCTGGCTTCATGCCGAGAGGCACTAGGTGCTGTAGGATGGTGGCACCATGGTGCTGCTGCTGTTGCCAGCCACCATGAAATTAGTTAGGGGAGGCTTAGCCCCTTTAGCCTCAGCCTTCTGACTCCCATGTCTGTAGGTCGAAATGCCTGCCCCAGCTCAGCAACTGGGGTTATATGTAGCCAAGCCCTGCCCCTTCTGGTCACCTGACCCCTACCCCTGAAGATGGGCC